TTAATGATATAGATTATGAAGATTTGAACCAGATTGAATTAGCTGAGGTTGGAGTCCACTAGTGGATGTGGTGATGAGCTTTCGGTTCATTAAATATATGATTTTTCATTGTCAGGTATATCCTGCTCAAGGAGAACCCTGTCTGACAAATAACCATGCTGATTCTACAAAGAATAAAATGTGTTGTCACATAACTTTAGTGTGCTTGGGCCACCTTCAAACAACTTACATATCAGAGTCTCAGCCTATGCCTGGAAACATTGCTGGGAATACTTGTCCAAAATTCCTTTCTGTATTACCGTCTCATTGCATTGAATGTCTTCAAGTGATTAAAAATGAGACCCTTTCAAGCAGATTTTTATCTTTAGAAACATAAAAAGGTTACACAGGCCCAATTTGGGTGTACAGTGAAGCTCTTTTTACTTATATTTAGTTCTTGTCCAAAAATTTGTTTCTGAAAGTACTATGTGGTGAATGTCCATTGGCATAGTTGAAAATTCACTTGTCCAGCCAAAGATTTGACTTTTGACATTTATGATTTTCAATTCTGGAGGGTCTGGACTGTTCCATCGTGCACTTTAGCATTTTGTTTCTGGCTTGTACTGGAAGACCCAGATTTTATCACGAGTCTCTGACTTTTCAGATAAGGTGGGATTCTTTCAAACAACTTGCTGGAAGGTGTGAGCAGAATTCTTTTATCCTCACTTTTGCTCATTCCCATGAATACCATTTTGGCACATACTTCATGTTCTTTGGCTGTCTCACAGTTTATTATATTCAGGTTGTCTGTTATCTTCTTACCAGTCTGTTGACCACACACACACACACACACACACACTTGTATCCGATCTTGCAGTTGCTAAATCTCTGGATTTTTTGGTTTTGAAATTGCTTAATCCACACAAAAAAGACCTTGTGTTTGCTCAGTCTTCCTTCTATATAAACTTAGTGTAATATTTTGTCAATTTTGAGCATTTGTCACCAGTTTGATTCCTGTTTTGAAAATTGGTAACAGAAAAAGATACTGCCGCAGAAGAACATGTGTTTTACGCAAATCTGTTAAATCATGCAGCAATGTTTGAACATGCCAATTGATTGGTGTTGCTAGTTGCTTCTCAGAAGCATCAGTTTAGGTATATAATTTTCATATCTCAAATGTAATGGATTAATGCAGGTTGAAATTCATTGTCAAAATAAATGTTTTCCTCTGAAATTAACATATTAGCTGCTGGTGCTGATAGCTACTGCTCAAGTGCACTGTACCAGTATCAAAGAGAACTGCTTGCTTTGGTTGATGTTTTTGTTCTGCGTTCTGATGACATTTGGACTTACAGGTAGATACCAACATTTCAGGAGAAACATACTGTCTCCATCTTTATCACTGACACGCTTACAGGTTCACTCAGTGTCAAAATTCGGAACAACAATATTGACATATTTACCACCATGAGAACCTCATATTTCGATATCGATTTTTCTCTCCAACAGATGGCTTCCAGTTTCTGCAGTATGTATTGGAAAATAAATAGAATTTAGGTAAATTAGAGAGACAAAGGTCAGATACCTTATTAAGTTATAATAATATGATTTTAGGTTCTAACATTGGCAAGTACATAGGTGGTTGGCTGAATGTTGTTGCACCATGTAGTCTGATGGAAGTTTGCCAACATTTCAGAGGTGCATCAAGTAAGCCACATACAAGGAACCAGCCAGTCGAGGCAGAACTTTGGCCGGACCATTCGGGACGAGGGTGCATCTGGCAATGGCAAGGGAGTGAACAGTGGGAGAAGGGTAGACCGCAGCTTGGCCATAAGTGTGGGAAGGGGGCGGACGGATGGGTGTAGCTCATATATGCAAGAGAGAGTGAGGGAAGTTGCCCTTTTCAGGGAGATCACCAAATATAAGGAAATGAGGGTAAACAGAAGAAACAAAGGAAGAGGGGCAGCCTCAAGAAAGGCAAGAATATAGGAAAATTGATAAGGGAGTGAAAGATGTGGGGTATGTAGACTGACGTAAAGAGTTGGGAGAGAGGAAATAAGGAACTGGCCAGGACTGGGTCAGTTTCCTGAAAAGGACAGTGCACTAGCCTAGTGGTCAAGTTGAGACAAGCACTGTTGTATATTAGAGGCTTCCTGTGCCCTTTGAGGAAATGGATGAGGGGCTTCCATTACCAGTTCAGTAGTAAACTTCTACCTGACTCCATGTTGCAACAACCCAGAAAACAGGGTGAGAGGATTTTATGACAGCCATCTTTAAGTTATATTAGATATGTATCCTAACCTGAACTCTCTGGTAACCTACTCAGCTTGTTTCAGGGAGCGGAATGTAACTGAGAATACCAGTGGAGGGTATGGAAGTTTGAGTGGCACTTATATACATCATGGCAATATTCTGCAGTATGATTCTACTACCAGCAGTACCAGTCTTTCAGCACTACATCAACCCCACTATGGTTCTGCTAGCAGCTTGATATCACAGCCAACTAGTAATATGTCGCAACAGTACGGTAACTTGCAGCCATTACACTTACTCTCCAATGGAAATACATGCCAGTCACTGGACGGGTTAATGCCTCAGCAACAGCCACATTATGCGTCTGCCAGTAACATCACTACGACGTATTTTGGACCTCCAGTGCAACAACAGTACAGCTGTAGCAGTAATAATATAACACCGCGTGGATCCACGAGCAACATCAGCATGACATATCCTACAACTGCATCGCAACATTTCAGCTCTGACAGCAATTCTGCACTCGTGCAAGTACAGAAAAGCAACATCCATAATACATTTCCAACTACTAGTTCAACATTACTTCATCATAATGAAACAGAATTACTGGTTAAGGAAATAGCAATGTTGAACTTCAATCAGATGTGGAATCAAACAGTTTCAAAAGCTAAACCAGGTGAATCTCTCAATTACCAGCCAAGTGCATCATCACCTGTAGTACCACATTCCAGCAATTTAAGTGGCAGTGTTACTTCTGTAAGTCAACGGCAGATGTGTCCATTGGGTGAAAGTAGTTTGACCTCTGTGTCTGCCGGATTTTCTAGTTTCAGTACAGTGTCTGGTAATGGCCAAAGCTTGGATAGTGTTAGAAGTACTGTGATGCAAGAGACTAGGATTTCGGGAGTATCTGCAGAGAAGCATTTTTCTCCCAGCAGTAGTGTTCAGTATCAGCAACAAGGAATCAGCTCAGGTGAGCAACGAGCAGGCTTACACATTTCATAATCCAAGAGAAATTTGTGTACCAAATATGTCTTCACTTACTATACTTCTTTGTTTCCACTGAATATTTGGATTGCTTTGAAGATATTATTATTCATTTTTACAATAAAGTTATCTTTTATTTGGACATGATCCATCAGTGAACAACCCACATTTAAATCACTGATATGAATTGAACATTACTGGGTTTTTTCACTCTTCCTTTTTTGCCGTTTGTGTTGTTAAATGGCTGATCTGTGGGGTACGGAACCTGGAGTTTTAGTACTGGTTGCTTCATTCCTTAGAAATGCTGAAGTCTCAGATCTGTAGATGATGGATAACTTGTGTTCACCAACTTAAATTATTTAATATGCTCGTGTGCATAAATATGATATTGAGAAAAAACATTTAGTTGCATTTACATTTATTTACAGAAGTACTGGAAATGATTTCCTCTAACTTGTAAGCACTTCTGAATAGTAAACAACTGTCATAAATCTGTGCTACCAACCTTGACAAGAAATAACCATGTTGCCAATCTATGCATGTCATAGACTTGCAACTATGTATCTACTGTATAGAGACGTTTTGAACACCCTATACTTCTGATTTCTCACATTCACTTACAACAACATGACTGAAGCACACAATTGTGTGGTGAGGGTGATATCAGGACCACTTTTTAAAGGTCACAAAATAATGCAAAACCTAACCTAACTTTTTTTTAATTGTTAGGGTAACTTGTTTGTAGAATGTAGAATTGCATGACAGTTATACCAAATGCAGCTTTCAGTTTGATGGTGATAACTAATTAATGCTTTTCTTCTTTTCCTTTCTCAGTGTGTGAAATTTTGTGAATGAAAAATGATGAAATTGTCACAGCTTAATATATTATTTAGAAGTTATCAATTACAAGCATGGCAACACTGTGGAAACTTAAGTAGTAAGGTTCCCAAATAGAAAATAGTTTGCTACTACTGCTGCTGCTACCAGCACCCTAATGACTAATGTGGTGGTGGTGATAATGATGGTAATGATAATAAATGACAGCAGCAGTGGTGGTGGTGGTAGGAGTAGGAGTAATGGCAACAGTTACAGCATTCTGTAACATATTTACAATTGCAGACACTGTGGCTAATGAATGAGCTAAATTGTGTATTCTTAATAGTAAAACAACCATAAGATAGGATTATGCAAAACACGGCTACACATATCAGCTCATATGCCATCATCTAATGCTTTTTTGGTGTGCTGTTATTTAAAACAAATACCATAAAGGTATACATTAAAATGCCATTCATAATCCAGCATTAGTATTAGCATGCATATATATGTTATAACCATTGTGATAGTTTTTTTGTGATATTTCCTCTTTGTTATTCATAGGTTTTATGATGTCTTTTGTTTTGTTTTGTTTACAAGTTTTCCTGTTTCACATTTGTCATATCTCATTTTATCTTTCTGGTGTCATTTGCTAGTGTCCTGTTTCTGCAAGGCCAAGAAACATCTAAAATGTTAACTTTGTAGGAATTTTCACTATTTCCCATTTTACTGTTAAATTACAGAGTTACACTACCTAAACACAACAGTAATGCAACATTTGTAGACTGGAAGTGTGTGCAGTAGGAGGGTAGGCTTAATTAATTTTCCTTGTTTTTATGTTTACAGATGAGCTAATACTTTGTAGACTGTTACTGTAAAATGTGAGACAAGGTATTGATTTACAGAAAAGCTTCAGTTTTTTAAAGGCTGATGAGGACTGATTGAATGCATATGCAAAAGTTAAAGGATAAGTGAAATTTGATATGGGTGTGAGCTTATCTGTGCTTGTGTGCCTTGACAAGAAATAACCATGTTGCCAATCTATGCATGTCATAGACTTGCAACTATGTATCTACTGTATAGAGACGTTTTGAACACCCTATACTTCTGATTTCTCACATTCACTTACAACAACATGACTGAAGCACACAATTGTGTGGTGAGGGTGATATCAGGACCACTTTTTAAAGGTCACAAAATAATGCAAAACCTAACCTAACTTTTTTTTAATTGTTAGGGTAACTTGTTTGTAGAATGTAGAATTGCATGACAGTTATACCAAATGCAGCTTTCAGTTTGATGGTGATAACTAATTAATGCTTTTCTTCTTTTCCTTTCTCAGTGTGTGAAATTTTGTGAATGAAAAATGATGAAATTGTCACAGCTTAATATATTATTTAGAAGTTATCAATTACAAGCATGGCAACACTGTGGAAACTTAAGTAGTAAGGTTCCCAAATAGAAAATAGTTTGCTACTACTGCTGCTGCTACCAGCACCCTAATGACTAATGTGGTGGTGGTGATAATGATGGTAATGATAATAAATGACAGCAGCAGTGGTGGTGGTGGTAGGAGTAGGAGTAATGGCAACAGTTACAGCATTCTGTAACATATTTACAATTGCAGACACTGTGGCTAATGAATGAGCTAAATTGTGTATTCTTAATAGTAAAACAACCATCAGATAGGATTATGCAAAACACGGCTACACATATCAGCTCATATGCCATCATCTAATGCTTTTTTGGTGTGCTGTTATTTAAAACAAATACCATAAAGGTATACATTAAAATGCCATTCATAATCCAGCATTAGTATTAGCATGCATATATATGTTATAACCATTGTGATAGTTTTTTTGTGATATTTCCTCTTTGTTATTCATAGGTTTTATGATGTCTTTTGTTTTGTTTTGTTTACAAGTTTTCCTGTTTCACATTTGTCATATCTCATTTTATCTTTCTGGTGTCATTTGCTAGTGTCCTGTTTCTGCAAGGCCAAGAAACATCTAAAATGTTAACTTTGTAGGAATTTTCACTATTTCCCATTTTACTGTTAAATTACAGAGTTACACTACCTAAACACAACAGTAATGCAACATTTGTAGACTGGAAGTGTGTGCAGTAGGAGGGTAGGCTTAATTAATTTTCCTTGTTTTTATGTTTACAGATGAGCTAATACTTTGTAGACTGTTACTGTAAAATGTGAGACAAGGTATTGATTTACAGAAAAGCTTCAGTTTTTTAAAGGCTGATGAGGACTGATTGAATGCATATGCAAAAGTTAAAGGATAAGTGAAATTTGATATGGGTGTGAGCTTATCTGTGCTTGTGTGCCTTTCACAGCAGGCTCAAGTGGAGGACAGGTTATTAGCGGTGGATCAACTTTCCCAGCTTGGGTTGGACTCAGACAGCAAGCATACCAGTACAGCAGTACACCAGTGAAACCTGCTACTGATAAACTGGTAAGTGTTTTGCAGAAAATTGCAAGAAATTATGTATCTTTGTATTCTTATGAATGATAATTTTATTGTTTAATTTGGTGTGGGTCTCCAACTTCAGTCCAGTAACCACTTTGTTCTTACAGTTATTTATATTCAGTTTCATATGTTAAAATAAAAATTAAGAGTGTCCAGATTAAAAGCTGTGTTACCTTTACTAACAGCTGGGATCCATTAACATTGCTGAAACATTACTCTCCCCCCCTCCCAAAAAAAAAAAAAATTCTACTGTGGTTTGACCACAGCTGTAAGTGGATCAGTGACAACATTGAGCTCGATGTGGTTACTTTATTTTGGAAGTAAATGTAGAAGTGTTGTTTTAATGAGAGTTCCTTGTAATTGAAAAAATTCTATAGTGAATACTTGTTATAGGCACATAAACATGTGGAAATGTAAAAATAAACTTTATTTTGTGTTTTCATTTACATCACAATAATTTTAATTGAATTTGTATGTATTCAAAAGTATTAAAGCTGCTTACAGACAGTTTACACTCAGTTTACTAAGTAAAGATATGCTAGTTTCATAACAGCACAAATTCATACTTCAAAAGTGCTAGTATGATTCTTGGAACAACCATGGCATCTATGTAGTGCAGTAGTATGGGATAAACTTGAAATCTGTGTACCACTGTAGTATCATACTCTATGGTATAGGAAATTCTTTGAAAAGATGATTGTATACTCGGCTTGTCAAAGAATAGTCCACATCCTGTATTGAACCTGGAGGTTCATCACCGTGCTCACAAAAGTCCACCACCGGACTGTATCCTGAGCTGCATGCATGCAGTTTGCTCCATTGATTCCTATCTCCCTAAGGTCCATCTTAATGTTATCCTCCCACCTATGCGTATGTCTTCCCAGTGGTTTCCTCCCTTCAGGCCTTCCAACCAGTACCTTGCAAACACCCCTCCCTTCCACCATGCATGCCACATGTCCTGCCCACCTCATCCTCGATTTAATCACCGTAACAATGTCAGGTGAGGAGTATAGGCCATGAAGCTCATTATTATGCAATTTTCTCCGGGATCCATCTTCCTCCCTTTTAGGTCAAATATCCTCCTCAACATTCTGTTCTCAAAGACCCCCAATCTATGTTCCTCCTTCAAAGTGAGACCAAATTTTGCACCCGAACAGCACACATGCCAAAGATATGAGACGGGAGGACAAAATATTTTGAACTGAATGATAATAGAACGCATTCCTTGAATTTAATCTTCTCTTGATTTTGTAATGAATGTAATTCTGACTTGTTAGTGTCATCCCCAAGTACTTTAACTTTGTCACATTTATTTAAATATTTATTATCTGTCGCTATATTCTGGTTCTGCCCTGCATTCTGATGCTGAGACATGTCATATACTTCATCTTTTTTGCATTTATTTCTAGAAAAACATCCCTACTAGCCATCAAGAGTGTTTCCATATTTGCTTTTATAGTATTTATATCATTGCCTAACAGTTTAATATTAGCATAGAACAAAGCTGATGTGTCCCATTCAATTTCAAACCGCCCTGATTTTTTTTATAACTTTCCTGATGGCATATTCTAAGGCA